CTTTCTTAGTGTAGCCCGTTTAAAGTTCCGTCAACTACAAACGTGCAGTCGCGCTACGTGCACTGACAATTCTTCAACAAAACAGAAAAGCGAAGAGCACCGTGTTCGAGCGTCGTAACAAGCCCGAGACAAACCCCTATGCGTTAAGGACGGTGCTGCCTCTACGGAGAATCGAAACCTGTGAAGCACAAGTTCCAGAATCGATGGTACGGCGACCATGAGGCCAGAATGCCACAGACAGGTGTAACTGTGCAGGCAGGTGGGGTCGTGTATAACGTGATCATGCTGAAGGCAATGAGATCTTGGCAAACGGCCATATTTCGGTTTGTCGGCATTGAGAGTGCAATGAAATGGGTGGAGAAGTACGACGAGACTGCGTGGACTACTGACGACTCAATTTGGACCGAAGTAGTGGCAGACAAAGCGACCCTCATCGATTTCTTGAAACAGGTCAACGTTCTCGGGGATATCTACGATGCTACAGGGTTTTGCAGAGAAACTCCGCTTGAAAGCTCAAGCATGGACCTCGGTATAAAAGCAATTATACAGCGACCCAGCGAAGGAGCCACGATGTTCACAGTCCCCTCAGAGATCCTTCGTTACCCGTGGTATGATACCAAGGCAAATCAAAATCACCCTGTTTGGAGCAAGCTTAAAATGGCGGCGGCAAGTATGGATTTATCGAGAGACTCAAGCGTCAAATTGTTTTTTATTGGAGTTATTCATTATGACTGGAATCATTGGTGCGCTGTTGGTGTTAACTTCAAGACGAGTGAAGTTGTTATCTACGACCCACAAAATACTGGCCACAGATTCGACGCAATTAAAGGTTTTCTCAAGACGCAGGTGCTTCCACTTTTGACGACACCGAATCGCCAAAGCGATTTCGGTTTACACGATTTGATCTGGCGCCCCAGCTGGACGACTACAATTGTGGAGTGTTTGTGCTCCTTTTCATCGACCTTCAGTTGTATGGAGTGCAAGTGACTGGCTTGGATAGTGAAAGTCTTAGCAGAGAGGCGATGGAGTTCTTCCGCTACAGACACCTGAGTCTCATCTTAGCGTCAATGTGAGATTTTTTTTACATTAGTGTTTGAGCAATATCTACTTAACGTTGGATAAAGTACTACGTATGGAACATTCGACGTTTGAAACCTGTCATGCAAAGTATCTGTTGTACTCGGGGCGAAGGTAAGCAGCACTAAGAGGGCACTT